CCGCCCCATCCGGCCTTCTATTTAGCTGGGCCAAGTGGATTGAGTGGGACACATTCCATCCCGCACGCTAGAATGCTGTGGAGAGGATGCACAGACACCCATGCGCACCATAGGTCGTCGAGGGGGGGGGGGGGGGGGATATTTATGCATATATCCATCCCCCTGACTCGCGGTCCAACTGCCGGGATCGGCGCTCCCGCCCTGGCCCAGAGGGCGCGGTTTCCCGCTAGATGGTTCCATGTTCCCCCCCGCTCCCCCCCCCCGCTTGGCCTTGCCCCTAGCGCTTGAGAACCACCGCCGGATACGCATGCATGCAGGTGAACACGTACACATGCCGCCCCCACCCCATGGGCCTTGCCTTGCCGGGGGTGGCCCTTGTGGCGGGGCTTCCCCGGCTCCTGCCCAGAGAAAGGACATACGTAGCCGGCCGAGGCTTTTGTCCCCGGGGCCCCCTCGAGGTCCTCTCTCCCAGCCGCATCTTGCGTCCGTCTTTCCTGCTGCTCCGGATCCACGGGCCGGCAATGTTACTTGCCGTGTGGGCTGTGGGATGCGCGCTCGCTCAAGTTTGCGCCCCCCCCCCCCCCTCTCTCTCCCTCTCTCACCCCCTCATGGTCTGGTACTCTGCTCGTCGCGGCCTCCCAGGCGCACATGCAGAGATGTACAGACCGCCTGAAGAGTCGCCTCCAAGGCAGGGCTCAGCCCTGGGGCGGAGCTGGTGGTAACCGGAATTATCATTGTCGCGAGCAATCCTCCGAGGCCTTGATAGACTTCCTCCTTTCCCCCCCCCCCTTCCCCCTCCCCCTCCCCTTCCCTGCTTCTGAGTTCCCCTCAGTAGCACACCACCCCTTCCACAGCCGTATGCCCCTTCATCTCGCCCTCGCCCCCTTCCTCTTCGCCTCCCTTCGCCGTCCCAAGACCCCCTCATGCCGCTCTGGACGGCTGCCCTGCCCCTCTACACTCACGCGGACGAGGGAGGTAGAGGGAAAGGGAGACACCTGTCTCCCGTCCTATCTTATTCTATCACTCTTCCTCCCCCCCCCCCCCCCCCCCCCCCCCCGGCCAAGCCCTTCCGCCCCCCCCCCTCTGACCCCCCCTTTCTCCGAATCAGACAATGTCTCTTGTGTTCGACGAGTTCGGCCGTCCCTTCGTGATCATCCGGGACCAGGAGAACAAGCAGCGCCTGACCGGTGTTGATGCGATCAAGTCCCACATTCTGGCCGCCAAGACCGTGGCCAACATCATGCGCTCCTCCCTCGGCCCTCGCGGCCTGGACAAGGTACATGGTCCCCCCTCCCTCCCTCCCTCGCCGGCGCGCGCGCGCCCGCCCTACTTGCTCCACCCCTGCCCATGTGGCTGCTCCTCTCTGCTCGACTCACCCGCCTCCCTTCCCCGCCTCTCCTGCCCGCAGATCATGGTTTCCGCCGATGGTGATGTCACTGTCACCAACGACGGCGCCACCATCCTCCAGCGCATGGAGGTTGAGCACCAGATCGCCAAGCTCCTTGTCCAGCTGTCCAAGTCTCAGGACGACGAGATCGGCGATGGCACCACCGGTGTCGTCGGTACGCATCCCTCTCTTCCCCTGGCCATCGTAAAATGCGTTGTGCCTCTTCATCTCCATCCATGAGCACTTATGCCTGACCGACTCTCCATTCCCCCTCCCCCCCCGCCCCCCCCCTCCCTCCACCCCACCCCCCCCCCCCACACCCCTCTCACTGCGACCGCTCATTCGCACACTCCCCCCCCCCGACCGTGGTCTGCATCCCATCCGCATTGCCGATGGCTTTGGTGCGCTTCCTCCTCCCTCTCTCTCTCTCTCTCCCTCCCCCCCGCTACTACTGCTGTTGCTGCCACCGCCAACACATCCTGTCATGCACTCCCCCCCCCCCTCCCCCATATGCTCACCATTGCCATCCGCGACGCACCATCACACAGAGCGCGCCTGCCAGATCGCCATCAAGCGCCTGGATGAGATTGCCGACACCGTGGAGTTCAGCAACGACAACATCGAGCCCCTGCTGAAGACCGCCTCTACCTCCCTCGGGTCCAAGATCGTCTCCAAGTTCCTCCCCCTGTATGCGGACATCGCCGTGCGCGCGGTTCTCTCGGTGGCCGATCTCGAGCGCAAGGATGTCGACTTCGACCTGATCAAGATGACCGGCAAGGTCGGCGGGTCCATGGAGGACACTCGTCTGGTCCATGGTGTCGTTTTGGACAAGGAGATCTCCCACCCCCAGATGGACAAGGAGATCACCGACGCCAAGATCAGCATCCTCACCTGCCCCTTCGAGCCCCCCAAGCCCAAGACCAAGCACAAGCTGGACATCAGCAGCGTGGCCGAGTACGAGAAGCTCCAGGAGTACGAGCGCAAGGTCTTCGAGGACATGATCCTCCGCGTCAAGGAGTCCGGCTCCAACCTGGTTGTCTGCCAGTGGGGCTTCGACGATGAGGCCAACCACCTGCTCATGCTGCACGACCTGCCGGCCATCCGTTGGGTTGGTGGCCCGGAGCTCGAGCTCATCGCCATCGCCACCAACGGCCGGATTGTTCCCCGCTTTGAGGAGCTGTCCGAGGGCAAGCTCGGCCATGCTGGCCGCGTGCGCGAGGTCACCTTCGGCACTTCCAAGGATCGCATGATCTTCATTGAGAACTGCGAGAACAGCCGTGCTGTCACTGTCCTCGTGCGTGGTGGCAATGCCATGCTCATCGAGGAGATCAAGCGCTCTCTGCACGATGCCATGTGCGTCACCCGCAACCTCATCCGCGATAACCGCATCGTCTATGGTGGTGGTTCCGCCGAGATTGCCTGCTCCATCGCCATTTCCGCCGAGGCCGACAGCGTGCGTTTTCCCGCCATTTCTTGCTCCCCTGCTGCTTGCCCCTTGCCTCTCGGGTCCCTTGCTGTCGTCACTCACCCTAGTTCGGTCCCTTTTTTTTCCTCCTCCCTCGTCAATCCCTTCCCGCCGCCTGCACTGCTCTTTCCCCCCCCCCCCCCCCCCCCCGCGCGCGCGCGCTTCCGCGTCTATCCACCACAGGTCCCCTCCATCGAGCAGTACGCCATGCGCGCCTACGCCGCCGCGCTGGATGCCGTCCCCATGGCCCTGGCCGAGAACTCCGGCTTCTCGCCGATCGACGAGCTCACTTCCGTCAAGGCCGCCCAGATCGCCGAGGGCAACTCCCGCCTCGGTGTCGACGCCAACGACAAGGGCACCAACGACATGCGCGAGCAGTATGTCTTCGACCCGCTCATTTCCAAGAAGCAGCAGCTTCTCCTGGCTACCCAGCTGGTCAAGATGATCCTCAAGATCGACGATGTCATCATCTCCGGCTCGCAGTAAGGCGCCCAGCGGCTTTCTCCTTGTAACGACTGCGTGTGACTTGGCGACAGAGAGAGAGTAGCGGCGGCGGCGGCGGCGACGGCGGCGGCCCCCCCCCCCTTCTCGCCGTCTCTCCGCGCCTTTCCCGCTTCGTCCTCCCCCCGCCTCATCCTTGTGGAGGCCTTCCCGTGCGCCCTTCCAGGCGAAAAAAAGCATCACTTCCCACGGGGCGCCGTTCGCGCGTGCGCACCCAAGGCGAGGGCACGGTGGGGTGGCCGTGGGAGGAGCGACAAAGGGGGGCATATGGCATTGTGCGACGCCCCTTTCCAGGGGCGCCACTCTCCTCTTTCCGATTGCCTCCTTCGCGCGCGCTCTCTCTCTCTCTCTCTGGCCCCTTCCAGCATCACACCCCCGCACGTCGCGGCTCCCCGGGGGCCTCCAACCCGAGGCATAGTTTCCTCGGCCAGTGAAAAAAGCCCCTCTCTTGTGTCTGTCCTTCCTCCCCCCCCCCTCCCCCCTTCCCGCGCCTCCACTCTCGTTCGGCGGCCCCCCCTTCCTCCACAAAGCGGATGGGCCGGCTCCTCTTCGCGAGCGGTGGCCCGGAGTGGGCCTCTCCTTATTCGCTGCCGTGTTCCAAGTTTCGACGGGCCACAGTAGTGTCACCTCCTCCTCCTCTCTCTCTCTCTCTCTCCCCCCCCCCCAATCCCAATCCCCCCTTTTACATATACAATACAAAACACTTATAAATGGTAATATTTCCCGTGTGCACTGTGAGCGGCAGAAATCGGTAGTTTGTTGATCCCCTGCTCCAGGCGAGAGGGTTTCCCCATCAGCAGTGAGGTGGAAAACACGGGACACGGGGATGGATCCGTCTGTTGTCGGAGAGGGAAAGAGGGGGAGGGCGAGTCAATCGAGCTCCAGGCCATTGGCTGGTTGATACTCAATGGAAAGGCGGCCATGTGGGTCGCGCTGGGTGATAATCGCAACCCATCCCGGGGTGACCAGCCGGAGTGGCCCGGCCTCCGGCTCGTCTGCCTCGTCGTCACTGTCGATGACATACTGCTCGCCATCAATGACAAAGCCCAGACGACCGCCAACCAAGGTGGCTGGCACAATGCCTGGGAGAGACCCAAGCGAGCCATCAGCCGGCGAAGCCCCGGGCCGGATGGCCGTGGCTTCGAGGCGTTCGCGCGCTGTTCGACGCACGGTCGCCGAGTCTGGTGCCCCGGCGGCTGTTGCCCGAGCCACTGCGCGTGCCAGAAACGAATGGAAGAGCCGTGCCTCATTGGCCGACCCCAGTTGCGGGCTTTCCCCCTTGTTGGGAACAACAACATGGTCAACCGTGACCACGGTCGAGCTGGCGCCCATTGGCGGGGCAACTGTGAAGTGGACATTCGGCATGAGGGATACCGGGGCAGTGGTCGCCGGGACGCGGCCAAGGCCACTCGGAGCCCATCCAGTGAAAGCCATCATCTGAGGCGACGACATCACACGATCAGTTTCCAGGGAGTCTCCTAAAGCGCGAAGAGAGAGAGAGAGCGAGCAAGAGAGCAAGAGAGCAAGAGAGAAAGGGAGAGAGCAAGGACAACATACCGATTGGCGGTGCTCGGGCAGCAGGGCGTCTCGCTGGCCCGAGAGCAGCAGGACCGACGTACGTCCAGCAGAGGGAGCAGCCGGCGTTTTCGGTGGGCAGATGAGGCCCCCACCGACGGACACAGCCCCGCCCACAGGCGGAGGAGCCGCCGGGTCGTCGGAGGCATGCGACGCCAGCGCATATGACAGGGCCACCGAGCCCCCGTGGCCGAAGCCCACCAGGACAATCGCCGAAGCCGGCCACGATCCGCACTCGGGATGTTCAAGCGCCCGGATCAGGTCTCCAAGGGATCGAAGCAGCGATCCAGGCATGCCAAAAGTGTGGGATGCTGATTTGGCGGGCCGAGTCGCTGGATGGGCCAGGTCGCATGCAATGTATCAGCAGCTTGGGTCAGAGGCAGGCTGGCATGTACCGGGAGGGCAGCGGCAGCAGCAGCGGCGGCGTCGCCGCCAAAGAAAAGAGGGGGCGAAGAAAGGGAGGATATAGCCGACATGCGAAACAGGGATGCAAGCTGGCACACGCACGGCGGTTGGTTCGCCAGTCCAGCGGGGCGTCCCACCAGAAGGGGAAGGACAAATCGAGCTCCTGCGACCCGGTGGACGACGGCGCACGTAGAGACAGTGCCGCACAATGCTCCAATTCCAGGCGCTCGGCCAGACGCTGGGCGGAGAGTTCATCCTGCCCCAGTGCATGCAGAAGGATCAGCAGCACCGGGGGAGGGGGGCCTGTCGGGGTTCCGGCCCGGCGGAAGGGCCTCGTGAAGCGAGCTCCCGTGCGCCAAGCTACAGGTAGCCGCCCAGAAGCCGGCCCGGAGAGACGCGCCGCCACCGCGCGCTTGCACACGGAGGACATAGCGTGGGGCCCAGAGGTGCGCGCACACGGAGACCTGCTGAGATGTGAAGAGAGAAAAAGAGGAGCGGGGGGGGGGGGGGACGATCGCGGTGCGTGGGCATCGGGCTGGGTGTTGGACCGCCACGCCGTGGACGTGCGCAGAGGACGCGCGCTGAAGAAAAGGTCGGGCGGGCGATCGGCGATCACCCGGGTGCCAACGCTTTGGTCGGGGGCTCAAACTTGCGGACCGACCAGGGCCACGGTGAGCGAGGTATGCACCACCAGCGAAAGGAGGAAGGCCAGCAGGAGGCCGGTGTTGCCGAGAACCACCCACTGGCGAAGAATGCGGGCGTGCCGGCGTGCTGCCGGCCCCACAGCGAGCGAGGCATCCGGCCGACGGGGTGCGATGCCGCCGGGCTCGGCGCGTTCCGGGTCCTCACTCGACAGACGTCCAGCATCTGGGGGGAGATCGGCCGCGCGGCTGCGCGCGATGACCACCCACTCGATCAGTGACTCGGCCGTGCGCAGCCCGTCAAAGTGGTAGCATGCTGGCGAATTGAAAAAGGCCAGTGCCACGTTCACGCTCAGGGTGTACATGACGAAATACCGTGCGGCCACCGGCATCAGCAAAAGGGCCCATAGGAGAGCCCTCCGAGCCAGGCCAAGTCCCCAGCGTGCCAGCGCTCGGATCGGCCGGCCGGCTGACAAGGGCGCTGCCGGGGGAGGGCTGCCGGATGCCTGGCCGGCGGGCCCCGGCTGCCAGAGGAAGATGTCCGGCGCATCCGGCCGCGGCCAGCGCGGAATGTACCCGGACACGGTGATTTCCCGCCACAGAGACAGCGGGGAGCCGTAGAAAAAGATGGGCGGCAAAGGGACGCCCGAGGACTCGGCCATTGTCGGGCCATCTGCCGAGCCGTAGTCCAACTTGACTTGGACTAGGCGTGTGCCTGGGGCCGTGTCCGGAGACAGGCACATGTGGCCTGGCTGGCACGCGGACGCCGGCCCGCAAGGTGTGGCCTCGGAGATCCCCCCGTACACCGGCAAGCAGATGGAGGTCTGGTTATGTTTGTGTCGCCCCGCATAGCCCCAGGGCGTGAAGGAAAATGTGAGAAGGCGAAACAGGGCGGGGGTGCCAAGGCAGACCGTGCTCTCTCTCTCTCTCTCTCGCTCGCTCGCGCGCTCTCTCTCTGCCCAGAAAAGGGTCAAGAGGAGGGAAAGGGAGGAGGCAGAGAGGGGGGAGGAATACGCACGCGCGGGCGCAGGGGGTCTTCACCTGGGCGTGCTGGGGACCGGTCGACCAGGCAAAAGCCATTGGCCCCAGGCCGGGTGGCGGATCGATCGCAGCAGTCATACTCCGGTCGGGTGGCATACTCGACGATGGTTTTGTGCGACACGCAATAGCCATCAAAGCGCTGGGGGATCGGGGAATCGGGCCCCACCTGGGCCGAGGCCATCGGGGGGGCACCTGCATTCAGATAATCGATGCAGGACACCCATGACTCGTGGTCGAGTACCGGACACCCGTCCAGCCGGCGGATACGTGCACCGAGCGGCAAGTACGGCCGCAGGGGAGAGGTCTAGGGGATGGCATTTTTTTTTTTTGCCCCCGCCCCCCATGCCCAGGCCCTCGTGGGGTTAGTCCCAGCTGGGAGATGCAGATGGCAATTGCTTGGACCGGCGCACCGAAGAGACATCGGCGACGGCGACCCCGGCACCAGTGCGCCATATCGCGAGGCCGGACTGGCCCGCCGGCGCAGCAACCCCAACGGCCGTCACCAGCAACGGCAGCACGATGGCCAATGCCAGGCAGGCCACCAGATTGTGCCACACGCCGGCCGTGCTGACCATGATCCGCTGCCAAAAAGTGCCCCGTTCATACTCGGTCTCATCGATGATGACACACCCCCCGGGAAAGGGGGTGAGCTGGAAGTGGATCCGCTGCACGGTCATGGCCGACCTGCGCTTGTGAATAGCCCGTCAGTCCCATTAGACACAGGCCGAAGCAGCATGTGCATGTGTGCATGCATTTGTACACGCACGCCACGGCCGCCAGCGCATGGCCCAGCTCGTGGACCACCACCGACAGGAGCAGCACCAGGGCCAGGATAAGCATACTCGGCAGGGGAACATTGTAGCCCGGAATGAGCATCATCACCCCGCTTCCGGGGGCTGGCACGGCCGATGCGGTGGCCGGCGGAGGAGCCGGGGGCGAAAGGTCGGCCACCGCGCGCCGGTGCATCGATCGGCCATGCTGCCGAGATGTGGCCGCTGCCATGGACATCGCCGGCTCCGAGCCCCCCACCGGCTGGGAGCCGCCCCAGGTGCCCCGGACCAGATGCACAGACCCGGCCACCTGCAGCGAAGTCAAGCCCACCAGCACAAAGGGCAATACAAGCAGGAGCACCAGGCCGACCGCCGCGCCGATGGAAAACCAGGCCCCCAGGGCTCGACGCGCTGTTCGACCCCCGAGGCGCCGGCGCAGCAGTCCGGCCACCGGGTCGGCCGGCGAAATGGCCAGCCCCAGCCGGAGCCCCTGGCGTTCAAAGGTGTAGTGCGCATCCGCCGGCTGGGGGACTACCGGTAGATTTGGCGCGGATTTGTCCGCAAGGTCAGCATCATGCCCTGGGCCCGGGAGTGATGGCTGGCCCCGGCCTGGTGTCCGCCCAGCCAGACGCATCAGTCGCCCAACCATGCGGCTGATCACCGGCAGTCGCCGCCTCCCGGCATACGCCAGCACCAGGATCCCCACCAGGATGAGGGTCATCAGAGGGATACTCATGATGTTCCGGCCTTCCACAGGAGCCCTCCCCTAGGCATGTGTCAGGCTCAGGAAGATGGGCCACAGCAGGGTAGCTGGCAGGGTAGGTCCGGGGGTGGGGGGGGAGAGGGGGGGCGGGGGGCCGAGGCGGCGGGCTTTGACTGGGTCAGTGTTTGTTTGGTGGTTGTTGACTTTGTGGTGTGGGCGGGTGTGGTGGTGGTGGTAACTTTGTGTTGGTTGGGGCGCCAGGGGTCCGTGTTCTTCTTGCTCTTGTGTTTTAGGTGGTGTCGGCGCCGGGTTTCGCTGCTGGGAGGCGCGGCTACCGGCCGCTCGGCCATCGGGCCGGGTCGCGTGAGTCGGCCTTCTTGCCGGCGTCCGCCAGCCGCCGGGCTCGATCCGGAGTGTGCCAAAGAGGGGCGCTTTTTCCCTGCATCCCCGGACATTCGCAGCTCGCCCTGTGCCAGCAGGCAGGCTCGACCCGTGGGATGATGGAGAGCGTTCGCGCCCTCCCCCCCCCCCCCCCCCCCCCGACCGCGCCGCACGCTGGAGAGCCGGAGGCCAGAGGGAAAAAAAAGGCAGGACAGAAGACAGGGCGATGGCAGACCGCACCTCGTGCAGCAGGGTCACGGGACCGGTTTTCATCCCCGTCACGGTCGTGCCAATCACGCCCCGACTCACGGGTACCCCCTAGCCATTGCAGAACACCCGGCCACAACCCATTCACACGCCAACCCTCGCTCCCCCGCCAGGCACACCTTGTTGTGGGCGAAGCAGAATGCGCGACTCCGGGGGACATGAGTCGTCTTCGCGCGTTTGCGTGGCAATCACCGCCGGCCATTGGGGCCGGTGGTCGGCCGCGAAATGTCCCGCAAATGAGGGCACAGAATACAGCGCATCATGGCCCTTCGACGGCCACACAGCACCGACAGGTTCGGTCCCGGAGCCGGCTCGAGTCGGCCTGGGATCGTGAGTGGGACCCCCGCCTGCTGAGCTGAAATGCCCTCGCAT